CCAGCCTGAGCTTCTGCGTCTACCTGGACGGCTGAGCTGCTTGGTCGGACCACAAATTGGAAAAATGTCTGAAGGAAAAACAGCATGGACGAAGCCCCTGCTCCCGAAGCGGAGGCGCAGCCTGGGCAGCCGACTGCTGAAGTGGATGCGGAGCCTGCTGCCGCCAAAGAAGAAGCCCCGCCAGCTGCAGAGCCGGTTGCGGCGCCGGAGCCGAAGAAGCGCGGCAGAGGCAGGCCACCAGGCAGCAAGAACAAGCCCAAGCCTCCCCCGCCCGCCGTCGACGTTGCCCCCGTACGCGCTCCATCTCCTGTTCCCGCCCCTGTAGAAGAACCAGAGCAGGCTCCAGAGCCCGAGCCAACGCCGGCCATGATGAGGGCCATGCGCCAGGTGTCGCGGACGGACCGCTTCGAGGAGCTGCTCTCACGCAACACCATGGAGTTCTGACATAAGACAAAGAACCATGCAGAGCATCGAGCCGCGCAACGAGCAGCTGATGCTGCGTCAGTTCTGGAAGAAGTACCCCACCTACAACCTGAACGCGCTGATGCGCAAGCGCTACGAGGAGCTCGTGGACGCCAAGGCGTTCAACGAGTGGCTCCAGAATCGCCAGCTGAAGCGGCAGGGCGAGGAGTACGCCGACGCCATGGGCAGAATGACCGAGACGGTCAACCGCAGGGTCCCCCAGCTCCGATGGGCGGGCGCAGAGCGGCGGCAGGTCCTCCGAGCCGCCCAGCAGGTCGCCGCGCCGTACTAAGCAAAGCATGGAAGAGCGGAGAGCCCTGGGCTTCGCGGAGGTGCTGGACTACATCGAGGAAGGCGAGCCCCTGAAGCTCTCCCTGCCGGACAGGCGCGTCAGCACCTATGTGCAGAGCCACTACTACCTGGACGACTTCCCTCAATCCACAGAGCCGCTGGACGAGAACCCGAGACCACACACGCAGCTGGGTGCGCAGCTCGAGGATGATTACGTCAGCGCCGACGACGGCTACCAGGGCAGACCCTTCCCGCAACTATACTTCTTGGGCCCAGGTCCGGACACGGACAGCGAGAGCGGACCCGACGAAGCTTTCCGACGCGATGGCTTCGACGCCGCCAGCAGCACCTAGCAGCAGCGTCA